TGTAAGGGAAGAAACCCCCCTAAGGCCAACGGCCCTGCTTTGAGTGGATGGTTACTGAAACAGAGAAATCTGACTTTGACCAATTAGTTTATCTTAATTGGCTTTATTGTCTACTCACTCACATAATTTCTCCCATAATTCTTTCCCTTCTGCTGGAACACGTCATTTTACTGCAACCCCCAAAACTCAGGTGAGGAATAAAAAGTATCTCAGAAATGAAAATGCTCAGCCACTATTTACTCACACTCGGATTTTTCTTAGTCAATAGAATCTTTAAAAGATGCTTTTTGTTTTACAGTTATAAACTGTTGGCTGCTAAGGCAAACTGCTACAAATGACTGGTTTAGGGTTTTGTGTTAATCCATTATTTTAGACAAGGAAATACTCTGAACTAAAGGTTCAGCCTTGTTAATTATTTTATGTTACAATCAATAAATTAAGCAGCCTTTGTTCATGCTTGGTGTTACGTGAAGGATGCTTGTCTGGTGAAGGAACATGTGCTCCCACCTCAGATTCTGTCACAAAATTTAGACCTGATCCAAAGCATGCCCAAACCTGTGCTAGGAAACAGACTCTGCCCTGCTTGTTTCTAAATCTGCTTCCTTTTCTCTACGAGGAAATGTCTCAATTTACTATACTGACTACTATATATAGTCCATATTATCATTGTACCCATCTTTCTATATTCTGTATTATTTATTATCTGTTGCCTGTTTGTATTATATTGTTGAAGAATCTTTAGGTGTTGGATGAATGGAATTATTATTTTGTAATTGTGTATTTTTGATAGATAAGTTTGTTGATACCTGTGTAAGTTTTATTAACACTTTCATTAGGTTTGTCAGGAAATTAGGATGTGCTGGAGATAAATGTCTTTTTAAATTCCATCTCATAACATCTTGTGCACACAATCTCTTTTCAAATTCTGCTTATGAGTAATCATTTTTATGTGTGTTTAAATCACATTTCAATTTTCTGTGTAGACACAAGTCCTTACTATACAACACATCCCGTTGCTAGTTTTGTAAACATGTTTTCACTGTTGCTTTGAAGAACTGAGACAAAACAACAGCCAATCTGCAGGATGGCAGCAACCAGGACAGCCTGTGCCTGCGAGTACCAAAGGATTCAAACCAGCACTGACACTGGGCAGCACAGAGGGCGAATGGCAAACCTGTCCCAAAGAACTTCTGCAGTACTAAAACTCCTCTGGAAGTGGCACAAGTTCTACTTTTCAGTCTCGGTGTGGCTTGAACGTCAAATGGGACAAATGGGAATGAGGGGGAGGACAGTGAAATCTCCAAGCTGAATCCAGCAGATGACCCACCACGTTTGTGTGTGATGCAAGAACAGACCTGCAGGGACACTGCACCCTGTGCCTGTAACCCTAATCCACCAGAAAGATGCTGGGATGGATTTATCTGGCAGAAATAGCTGTGACCACATTCTGCCTAGGGCCTGGTGCAGGGTTCAGGTGTGGTCCAGCCCCAGGAGGAGGTGTCAGCAGAGCTGGGGTGCCCAGGCTGCACAGAGCAGGCCTTTGCCCCTTGCCCATCTCTGCCTTTCCCCAGCTGCAGCAGGGCAGGCTCAGGGGAAGGCTGCACTCTCCAGAGGTGTTCTGTCACAGCTCATCTCATCCTTGTTTTGGTGTCGTTCTGCATGCTGTGGATAAGCTGGTCACAGATAAAATGAGACACATTTTTTCACTTCAGCTCATGCCTCTTCTTCCTGTGCTCCATACAATTATTTTGTAGCACATGAGGAAAAATGTTTATGTTCTGTTTAAATCAGTCTCGACAAAATGTTAGAGGTGACAATCTCTTTAAACATTACTGATCATTACTTATAAAACTATATTTTAAAATTGTGAAAACAAATGCCTTGACCTTGTGAGCTACGGAAAAATTTGAAAAACAAATCTGCTCTGTTTTTTTGGCTAATAGTTGTGATTTGCATAGCTGAACCTTGAATGTAGTCATAAATAGCTACAGAATCTGTCTTGGCATAATGCCTGGCAATGTTAGGGTGCCAGACAAAAAATCGGGTCAACCACTTACCAAGTAAGTCATTCTGTCTCAACAAGGTGATGTCTAACAAAGAAGCTACAAGGCTGAAGACAGCCAACATATTCAGCTGCTGTTCAGAGAGATGAGAACTTTTCATTTATCAGGATAAAATCGTAATCAGCACACCGAGTGAACTCCCTCTTGTTGAAAGGAGAAAAGCCCATCAATTGTTTTTGCTAATTAAGATGAATATTATTCCTGTGAAATGAACCAAAAAGTTCTGTGTAAGTTCAGAATCCCAAAAGAGATCAATAATCTCAAAGAACAATTGCACAGGGGTTTAATTGAGAGGAAAGTGAGAAGTATTTTTTTGTCTTCTTCAGTTTTCAGCTGAGGCTCTTCCGTGGGTGTTAGTGGGTCTTTTATGTTCTCAGTTTATCTAATGTGATTTTCCACATATTAAAACTTGTGGAATTAAAAATTCGTGACAAAATATTCATATATTTAATGGAATGCTACCACTAAATGGTGCATATTTAGGGATAATTCAAGGTAACAGATAATTTATTAACATATCTAGAAAAAAGCCCACTTTCAGATTAAAATCTAGGTGTTGTGACTGTTCATAGTAATGTGCATTTAATCTTTGTTCATTAAGCAGAGTTAGAGTTAAAAATGAGAAGGAAAGTGTATTTTCTTCAAGTGATGTTAATTATACTCAACAATTTATTTTATTCTGTCATAGTTATCTTGTTTTTAGGATTAGAAAAAGCCTTGCAGTGTTGAAAGGGAGTAATATCAGGAAGCTCAGTTTCCCATTCCTTAAACAAAAGACACTCAACTTGAAAAATATATTTATATTTGAATTAATATTTACATAATGGAAGTCCTTAATCAACAGAGTAACCCTGTATTCCTGAGCAAGTCAGGGAAAATTGAGGTGTACGTGGTTACACATATAAAAATTAATTGTACCCCAAGTAATCTATTACTGTCTGTTTTAGTATCCCTTATGGTCCAAGCTTTTGCCCTATCTTCTTCTCTCATAGTGTAAATAACACAGTTGGCCTCAAAATAAAAATAATTATGATTTCACTTAACATGCAAATTCAGAGTTATAAATTAGCTCAGATCTGGATACTGGCTGAATACATTCGTTTTCATGAAAAATGAAATGTTGGGTCTCTCTTCTTCCCTCCCCCCAAGCCTTCTTCACAAGATCAGCCCCAGGCTAAAATGGTTTTAAGTAGACTAGAGCTGGTGGTAAACACTTACCTCTGACAATATCATTGCCTAATGAACATTGCAGAGAGGGGTGGATGCAGTGCAAGTGTGTCTGTGGCTGCACCCTACACACAGTCCTTGTGCCAAGTACCTACTGCTAAAAGGGGAATAGGCACAAAGGAGACAGGCCCTTTGATGCTTTAATCCCAAACATACTTAACTGTCACCTAGTTAATCTTTCTGATTAAAAATGACTCTTGAGTTCTTCTCCAACATTTTTCTGTTTGTGGACGAGGGAGGTTAACTGTGGTTAAATGTAGTCCTCGTGCCTGTTCAGACTGTTCTTTTTTCCCCCCCCTTATTTGCCCTCCCCCCCCCCTTATTTCAACATGACTTTTCCCTCTCTTTAATCATGGATGTGCCCCTGAAGGATCTGCAAGCACGATACCTCTGAAATAACCCCATTCTTTTCCCTCTTAGCAGCAGGTAAAAGCACATTACAGCTGTGCCAGAGCAGAGCTCGCTGCGTTATCAGAGGGCTGAGCTCCGGGTCAAACCCCAGCCTGTCAACGCAGCCTCACCTGCAGGTTTGACTCTCCCAGGAAAAAAAGGTTTCAAAGGACAACTAACCCTCCGTGGTGATCAGAAATAAAGTCATCATCCTTAGAGTTCATCACAAACCCTCTGTTTTGCTGTTGGTTTTCTTGGGCACTGGCGATTTCGGTGCCGCTTTTATCCAGAGACAGCAAAAAATCAGTCCCACGTGTTTTAAATCTGTCACTGTTTTAAGTTCTTACGCATTAAAGTTTGTGAATTAATTTTTTTTTCCAAGAGTCTTGAGTTCCTTTTGGGATTAGATGGAAGGTCTTTCGAGTGTAACACTAAGAAGCACATTTTGGGTCAGAATACATGCTCTGATGGGATATTTTTCAAGTAGTATTTCTTTTAACTTTAACAGTAGTTTCACTTCGTGATGGTTTTATGTTGATTTCAGACTACATTTTTATGTAGTGGGAAAGGATATTTTTTGTAGAGTGAATGCCCAAGACTTGTTGGAAAACATTTCTCCTTAGCAATGTACTCATCAGATTCAGTATAGTTTGCTCAGAAGTGTTATTTTAGGATGACCTTTACACATAGAGTATGATGAATTTTTCTTTTTATTTGATTGTAAAGATGTTATGATCGAGGGGCAAAATAAATATTGCCTTTTTCAGCCATAAAAAAGAGAATGAAAGATGAAACCACCTTTTTAAAACAACCTGATAGCATGCAGAAGTGATGTCTGCATTTGGAAACTACATATTTTTATATTCACACATACAGCAAAGCCCAAGTGAAACATAAATAGAGATCAATTTTATACAGTTCAAATAGTAACACACGCTATGGAACTCACCCTTTCTCAGCCTAAAGAAGAGAGATATTTATATTCTTCACTGGTAGAACAATGTATTTCTGTTTAAGGGAATTCATACGTTATAATAAATTGTTCAGAAAAATAAATAGTTGAGCATTCTGTGGTCAGCAGCATTTCTAGTAAGGATGTTAAATCCTCACATATTTTCTTTTGAACAATTAGCATAATGTTCTGCAAATCTTTTCTAGGTAGCTTACAGGATTTGAATATTCAAATATTTTCATTTGTATAAGCCATATAATTATGAAATTGTACAGTACAGTTATTTCTCAAGCAATTTGTCAATCCTTTCTTACAAGAATTTACCTTCTGTTCTTTGTTATTAGAAACAGAAAAAGCTTTCTGCTTACCATTCTGGAAAAGATGGAATTCATCATTCTGCCATAAAGACCCTAGAAAGCAAAGAAAATGTTATTAGTTATTATATTCTTATCTGCAGGGATTCTAACTGCCAAACAATGCATCAGCATCAAAACAAAAAATGAAAATACATGTTCAAATCATAGATCAATAGTTTAATGCAGTTCTGAATATATATTGCATGTACTTAGCAGGTACTGGATTAGAAAAAAGCACCAGCTATTGTTCATATCTGTATTTAGAACTGCATGCCAGCTGGAATTTATCTGCACAGCATTCACAAAATACAGACATAGGATCTTGGCATCCAATTGGAATGTATTTTTGAAAATAAAACCATGGGCTTGCTGTCGCTCTGCTCTGGAGTGGCAGAAAACCTGAACATGAAGGGTTGTGATCAGAAGAGACAATTATCAGTGACACGGCAAAGGCTTTCTTCTTAACTCGTGAGGAAATTTGTATTAGTATTAAAAAAACTCACTTGAACACTTAAAACCCACTTGTTACTCTTAAATGTTTTCACTCTTTGAGAAAACTACATCGCTAAGCAAACATGCAAGGGAGAGAAATAACGAATTCAATTAAAAATCATGTTTAGAAAAGGTTACTATAACCAAGAGATGCAGCCAATGCCACTTAGAAAAAAATGTGGATGCCTAAGTAGGGCTATTACCTTTAAAGAGGAAAATTAAAAACTCAAATGAAAGATCAATTCCAGGTTCTCCCCATGACCACATATACCACTGGATAAAATGTAAATATTTACAGGTAAGGGATTGTCCAGATAGAGAAGAATTCCCCAGTATTGTAGAAGAGTTATTTCCGTTCAAGGAGTTTACCTTGGGCAAAAAGGGAGTTTCCAGAGTGTGCAGTGCTGCAGAAATTCAGACTTAATCTAGGTTGCAGCACAGCACAAGAAATAGGGAGCCTGGATAAAGCTCGTGTAAATTAGAACAGTCCCTGAGGGCTGCTCTATTTTACGTGAGGATTCACTGGCCTGTGTCAGCTCTGAATCTCAGCATCCACAGCCGTGGCTCAAAGCTGCTTGTGCTCCATCCTTCATGGGCTGCACCTTCTTCATGGTGCCTCATGTCAGATGGAGCACAGAATATTTCTCTTTTTTCATTTGGAAATTCCGGGAAAACAGGGTCCCTCTCAGCCAAAGAAACAATATTTCACGTGAGCTCAAAAGGAACCCCTTGAAGGTCTGTCCTAGTGGAGCCAAGTTCTCACAAAGCACTGGCTTCTGTGCCCTTCTCAGAGATCCTCGCTCCTCAGCCCTCTGAGTTTGCAAACATACTGTCGGAGTGAGGTAATCATTAATCAACTGCCTGTTTGGGACTGTTACTAAAAAAATCCATTCATTTCAGCAAAGTAATAGTTGCCTTTCCTCCACGCAGCTTTTGAGTCCCCCCTGCCACAAAGCCCTGATTTTTTTTTTCTTTTCCAAAGCTATTTGTAAACCAATAAAATGTCACTACTTCATAAATGAACAAAAGCTCTCATTGACTTCAAAGGGAATTATATTCACCCAAGATTTTGCCTCTAGTTCTTACCTGCCTAATTATTAAGATTCTACACCGTGGGTTACAATGTCGTAAGATATGACCTGAAAATTGTGGGCCTGTCCCCAGCTATCAGTCAGGTATTCAAGCCACCAGCCTGATACACAAGTTGTTCAATCCTTTCACAGGAGTATCCTCCTGAAGGCATTGCAGCAATGTTTGTGCTTAAAGTTAAGTATATGTTTTAATGTTCTACTAAACCATGGTTTAAGTCCTTACGTAGTTTCAGATGAGCAGAGCTGCTGAAAGTTAAATAAGTTTAGTGTGACAGCTAATATATGAACTCTATTTGGACACAAATAATTTTTAATAACAGGTTATTTGCTGGTATATAGAATATGGAATTATTAAGTTTAGAAGAAGTGAGTCAAGGCTTCTCCTATAGCATTTGCTTTCATTGACTGAAATAAATAATCGGGGGGGGGTGGGGGGTGACCACCCAGATCTCAAGTGTAAAGAAATGCTAACAAGTTTTTGATTTCCTTTTTGAAAAATCAGATTTGTCTGTTCAGGTCACAATTATTTTCAGTGCCTCTGGCACTGACATTACAAACGTCAAAAAAAAAAAAAAAAGGCAGCCCTGTAATTCCTGTTCTGGAATTCTCACTCTGGTTTCTGGAGCATCAAACAAAACTGCCCATTTCTAATCACTGGCTCCTGAAGAGGGCAGCACGTTCTAGATATTATTGAACTGTAAGCTTTGAGGTGACAGCCTGGGCTTCACTTTACTGCACACAGAGGAAAGGGGAATAAAACTTTCTGGAGAGTTTGTGTACATGGTTCCCACGATCCAATAAGTCAGCAGAAGTCCAAGGCTTTTGGCCAAGGTCACAACTGTATTTGATTATTAGAGAGGACATTCAAAATAGCTACCTGAAGCAATGCATTTAGGAAGAGAGCAACAAAATACCAGCAAGGGGTACTTCCATGAGGAGTATGTTTTATCTTTAACACTGTAGATAACTTTTCCTATTGGCAGCGCATTGACTATCAAAACTACTAAAGGGGTTAGATTTAATTATCTCACTTCTTTGCACATTTCATCTCAATTGCTATGGCAACATTCAGTTGCCTCAGCAGCAATGTACACTTTAATCAGATATTTCCTCACTCATTTCTCTGTGCACCACAGCAATGTAGTCAAATTTACAGCCAAACCCTGATGCATCTGATAACACCTCTTAGGAATTAATGGCTAACTTTCCTCTGCCCCTCACCCATAGCCACAAACATTTCTAGGGCGTTTTGCCCTCTGATGGCAAAGGCTTTAGGAGATGAAAAGTGTGTGTGCTTTTTATCTTCCCCACTTCACTGATTTTATGTTGTTTTTTTGCCACCACTCCCTCTTTACACGTCCTCTACTTACTCGGGAACTCTTCCCATCAAGCAATGGGCAGGTCCTCTGGTCCCTGCAGGAACTCTTTCAGGCCTGAGAACAGGAAACACAATAACTGGGCAGACAATATGGTTCCTCCCGTATTCCACCCTGCCCTGAAAAGCTTTTTGTTGGATTACTCAGCCCTGATTAAATGCTTCATCGGAGTACATCATAGCTCTTTAAACTTCTTGGCCCAGAAACCAGGAACATAGGCTAAAATAAAAGTAATTAGGAGTGATGAGCAGATACTAGGGACTCCTTATTGAAATGCAGACAGTAAAAGGAGTCAGGAAGCTAAAAGTACATGGGGATTACTAAATTCAGCTTATGGGAAGTCTCGATATTTCTGACATAGAAAATCATCTGGTCTGAAAACATGTCACCAGCACTGCAAATGGTGAAGAGAGATAAGTTCCTAATGGTGCCTGGAGTCTATGGTGGAAAACACAGAAATGCATTAGAAGGATTGAATTTGTTTGGATTGTAGTCAAACTTTTGGGAAAGAATGATGGGCACACAGCCTCTTCCTGATCAACCAAAGGTTTTCCTGGGAGAACTGCCCATTTTCCCTGGCCTGGGCTCTTGGCAGCCTCAACATCTTGCCTAAAGAAGAGGGCACCCAGTGTGGCACCTCTGGCTGCTGCATTTTTCATATGGTTGCCAAAGAAGGGAGGAATTTGACAGAGAGACAGGGTAACATGACAGGAAAATGTTCACATCCATATATGTATATACAGAACTCGTGTGTGCTCTCACTGCAGCACTAACACTCCCTGAAGGTATTACTATGTTGCTAGACAAATTAAAATTAAACAAGAGGTAAAAGTGCTCTTGAACTGAAAACTGTTAAAAGATGCCCACAGGCAAGACAAAAGTGAACAGCGGGAGTTTATCCAGCTGTGGGTGACTGGGAGTTCCTGTGCTCCCATTCCTACTGCAGGAAATGCAATTTCAGAGAAAAAAAAAATCATAAAGGTGGTGTGAGTTCCAAGTAGAATGACATGAATATTTTTTTTCAGCCCTTAATATAAAAATTAGGATAATCTCTGTGAAACCCATTAAGCTACAGGACTGAATGGAGAGGGATGGTGGGAAAACAGAAGAGCCCAGAAAAAGAATGAGATGTCACAAATGTGATAGCACGTAGGTCTGCTGACAAGCACATCTAATAACATCTGGAATTAGTGGAGTATGTGAGATCAACTTTGAAAAAATTTCTAAAAAACCAAAATAAATCTCTCTCAACAGAGTATTTTTAAAGTGAAATACAAAAGAGGTATTTTTTTTTTTACTGGGGGGATGCAATGAAACCTTGTAAAGAATATATGAGATGTGAAGGGACATGGCCAAAGGTCTGCATACTGAGATCAAACCCAGAAAAAAACATAAAAATAATAAACTATATAAATTTATAAAAACCAGTAGTAGTAGTAGTAGCATGTGTTAAATATATACTAAATTTGGATTTGTGAATCACATTTTATGCAAGTGCAAATGGAGGCACTTAGAGGTGAAGGTGAACAAACTGAATAGATTATTCATTTTTGTGCATAAAATTCTTAGGTTTACTATTTCCCTTCATTCACACCACAAAACAATGTATCTCACAGCAAAAGAATCTGCTGTGTAAATTATTACATGTTGTGCACTGAGAAAAGAAATGACACGGCTCAATATCCCAGTCACATAATGAAATAAGGAACTGTACTCCAAGCAGTTAATTCAGTTATTTTCATGACAGTGTTATCCCACAGTTATCACCATGACAATGCATCTTTGTTGACTTAGAAGTACTCAAAAATGAAAGAGCATTTGGATGTGGAGACAAGGATATGAAGACATGGTAGGAAGGAAGATTAAAACCGTAATTCTGTCTCATTTTTACAATACTGTAATCCCAATGGAGCCGCTGGAAGTGCTCCCAATTTGCACCAGGACAAAAGCCAGCGTGTCTTCCTCTGATTCTACGTACTTGGAAACTGTATCTCACTACCAGCTACATTTATAGTCCTACTGCTGTATAATGAAAGGAAATATGTGAAAATGAAAACAAAAGGGGTATTAATGCATGCATGAGAATAACACAACA